AAGTATTCGTCGACCAACCTTCCCGCATCGTGCGCGATGCATGTGGCAGCGGAACCACTGTTCGCGAAGTCGAAGACCTTCTCTCCCAACACAAGATGATGGCTGGGATGGCGAAGAGGGTTGGCGGGCAGAAGAAGCAGATGCAGCGTGCGCAGAATATGCTCAAGGGCGGTAATAAGGAGCAGCAGATGGCTGCTATGCAGAAACGTATGGCGGCTATGGGCGGTGCGGGCGGGATGGGTATGGGTGATATGGCGAAGATGATGCAGATGTTGGGTGGCGGTGGGGGTGCGGGTGGAATGCCGGGATTAGGAGGGATGGACATGCAGAGCATGATGAGCCAGATGAGTGGGCTGCTGGGAGGTGGTGGAGCTGCAGCCGGGAGTGGAAGAGGGAGGGGGAGATAATCGTCTCATCCGTGTTGAGGTTTCTCATTAACTGCTCATCTGGGTTCCATTTTTGACTTTTCAATTTCTTTCGTCAGGGTGTACCTTCTACAAGACGGCATGATGCATATCGCATAGAAAGGCGTTAACGGAGCGACCTTCAATTCTTGACTTTCAATTCCTTCCCTCATTTTTGTGTATGTAGGTCTTGGTGGTTTATGCTAATATGAATACGGAATACATACAATATTTTATAGATATTTATTCCGACTCTCGAAAGACCTCTTAGTTTTGCTTATAACCTTGATTTTGTGAGAGAGTTATTTATAATACAACAGGCAACGCTCCGCGAGTTGCGTGTCAAAGAGATATCCCCTCGAGCAACCAGCACCATCAACAGCCACCTGAGCGGTGGTTGAAGAGGCAACTGTCTTAAGTACACCGATAATTATAATAAATAAAAAACACCTAAGATATACACCTAGCCGGGGAAAATCGGTTGTAAGCGCCGGCGCTCTCTAATCTGTTTCCAGCCTCTTCTAAACCTTTGGCACAACCTCCTTCTTCACCAACAGCAGCACCAGCCGCTTGACCATACCCGTAACTGATTTTATCAGGGACTTCACCAATACCTGAGCTTCGCCGAAAACACTCTTCATTTTACCCACGACGCTAACGTCTTCAGGCTTATCAAACACCACTTGCCCAGGCGGCAACACCCGACTCTTCGCTCCCTCCAACTTCAAGGGCGTAGTTAGTTTATATTCCCACACTAGCTCCTCGCCGATATACAAAGAATACCTTAACACCGAGTTCCTACCGTCCTCAACGTCGATGTTAACTATACCCACCTTGTTATTACCAGCGGGCAGGTATTTGATTACGACATCCTCATCGTCAGACTGCGAAAATATGCCACCGGGGACGTGGAACATATTCAGCGGACCAGTGCAAAATTCGTGAATACCCATTCCGTCTTCAAGGGTACTGTCGGCCCCATATCCCTTTTGCCCCGGTGTGGCCGCTAGGAATGGGTCGGGAAATCTTATCGCGCCAAATTCATGTCTATCACCACTCAGAAGCACGACGCGGATTCCCAATTCACGCTCTGCCCGCCAGATAACCTCAAAGATCCGGCGGCGTTCACCCAGAAACCCGCCCCATGTATCCTCCGTCCCGATGCGCCAGTTTTTGGAAAACGGGACGCTACTGGCGATTATTTTCCACTGAACGCCGGTAGGTTCTTCGCGGGAGATCCAGTGAAGAAGGGAATTCAGCTGTGCGGAACCAAGCATTGTGGAATTGTCCTGTAGAGGTTCCGAGCGATATGTGCGCGTATCGAGCATGAAGAAGGAAGCAGGGCCATTCGTGAAAGAGAAGTAGGTGGTGTTGAATGGGACGGAGAAAGGAGATTTATCGATTGGTGGGTTAACGCTCATGTGGTAATGGCGGTAGGTGTCGAATGCTGCTGGATAAGGGTCGGTTTCGTTTCCTAGATGCCAGTCGTTTGCGATTTCGTGGTCGTCCAAGGTATGTATCCAAGGGATGTTCATTGCGGGTTCTGGACCAGTGTGCCATGATGGAGACGCGTAGACTTTGCGGTATTCGCTGCGGTAGTGGGAGATGGAAGATCCCCAGCGGAAGGGTACGTCAATATAGATAAAATCCCCTAGGAAGAGCATGAATGACGGCCGTGAGAAGGATGGAAGCTTTGACACAATCGTGGAAATAAGCTCGAGGCCATAGATCCGCAAGGGGTGGTTTAGAGGGTTGTAAGGGAAGTTTGCCTTCATGCAACTCGAGCTTAGGAAACTGAGTCTATATGCTGCAGCGGAGCCAGGAGCCGCGGCGGTATTAAATTTGCCGGACATGTTATTTGAGAGCGAGTATTGATATTCCTTGGAAGGCTGAAGTCCAGTCAAAGTAACAGGAAAAGTGTAATCGGTGTCATTGTTGATAACATATATTACTCCCCCTTCAAACGACTCGCCCTCGCGGCCGTTTTCTATCACCCTGTACGATATACGGATAGGAAGCTGCTTGACGTCGGGCTCGCGTACCAGGATGTTGGCAGTTGTTGATGATACATATCCGACTCGTGAAAAGGCCAACCCGGTAGTTGGATACATATACTGGCCTCGGGTAACAGCATCAAGGGTACCAAGGGCTATTAATATGTTTATCCCGACAGTCGCCAGATTGACATAGGGCGCGTGTGTGGAAGGTAAACCGGTTGCAAGAACGGACAATAAAGATCTTTCCCTCCCATTTCTGCTTCTTTCGCTACTTTCACCCGAACTTAAGCTTCCTTTGGCCGTTCTGGTATCTTTTCGCGCGCTTGCTATCGAACGATCCCTTTGCTGCGCTCGTTTAAATGCAGGCCCTGAGACAATGACGAAGACCGAGGTCAAATACACCAGCAACGAGGTGACAATTAGCGGTGGAAATTGGTGTCCTGGAATCTATTTTCTTACTGTTAGCAAGAAGATCCCAAGAAGATAAAATGGGATCCATTCCATGTGGCGAAATAAAATGCAGCCGTACCCATCTCAGAAATATATAACCTGGAAGCCGCATTAAAACAGAACTTGTTGCAGCTAGAGTGGTCTGTATAGAAGGCATAGCGTCACAGTGGTTCACGAGGTGAAAGCAGGTGCAGCTTTTCGCCCTCTCCCGCACCGAAAGTGGGTTTGTTGTTGCGTGTATTCGCAAACAGAGTGTTGGTGGCTCGCTCTTTTTGATGTTGCGGATGTTTTTATTAATATCAATGGAAGGAATTCGACCTTTGAAAGTAGAAAAATAGCGGTAGATTTGTTATCACCAGGGCTCTTCTTCCACAGCCAGATAGCTATGAGATTTGCTGTCTATGGTATCTATATTCTCATATAAATTGCAAATATCGTGATAATCCTTGTATGACAATTAGTAGTATCCAATGAACTGGTGGAAATTACGAGCTCTCTATAAGCTTTTGTATTCAACTTTTTTCAATGACGCCATAGATAAGAATGTTCCCATGGGCAGCAACGACGATGGGCTAATCGTATAGAAATGCCTAGGTACAAAATCATCCCTCATCTAGCCGTAGGAAATGAACAGTAGTCTTCATCTCACACCCATGAATTGACCTGTGTCGGGGACTTGATTGTGTCTTGCTGCAGACGAGGAGGGTCTAACAATTTCATTTTGTGGTCCTACTGAAAAATCATTTTAGTAGATATCCTAAGAATAGGGCAAAAGACGAAAATATATTTATATATACTTGTATATGAATTCAATTCGCGTGTGCCCGTTGATTATTCCATGTAGCTACCATCAAGTATATAGTTCTCATCCCCATTAGTAAAGATATACAGGCCGCCCACTGCCATGGCTGTTGAACATCTCCGGGCAACGCATTGAAATATTCCCACCCCATGACTCCACCAAAAGTCGGATGTTTTACCATTAACATCCCCAGAACAACGCTTAAACGGTTCATGGGCACATAACCCCTCGACCCGTTTGCAGGATTAGTCAAGATTCCTACCACAACTTTCCGTGGCGACCATCCCTCTGACAATATCCGGTCATATACTTCCAAATTTTCGATGGTACCCCAGCCATTGTAAAATTGGGTATTGTACCATGCAATTTTCGAGCCCCTGGCAGCCTCGAGCGCTTTGTAATTAAATCCAGACAAATGGTTCATTCCCTCGATCAGGGCGGTCGCAACGGGGGCCAGCGTGATGATGAATTGTTCGCCGAAATCAGCCTTGAGCCGATCAATCAATCGGATAATGCCTCTCAGCGACATCTCCTCCTCCACGTCAAGGTCCAAACCATCGAGGGGGTGGTTCCGGATCATATCTCGAAGAGGGACGTAATACCGCTCGAAGATATCAGCGTCTTGATCGAGACGCTCGAAGGTCCCACGCGCAGCCCCGCCCAGCATTCCCATCACTTTGACCCCCCGGGTTCGCATAACGCCCGCTTCAGTCCATAAGGAGGTGAACCGGGGATGCTCCGGTGAGTGGTCGTTCAGAGTGATATTCCCTGGCCCATCATTGAGGTGGATCGCAGCAAGAATCACATGTGTTATTCCCGTATTATTAGCAGTCAGCGGTAGCATTGACATGTATCTGCCGCCGTTGTTTGTGTGATAAGTTTGGTGGTAGCAGATAATGCGCGGTTGAACAAATGCCCCATATCCAGGGAGGGGAGGCATTTGGACAACACTGCGAAAAGAAAAAAGAATTACGGCACTCTTCTTTTAATAAATTTGGTGAAGCTCGAAATTCTCTCCGCCTAATATTGACGATTCACACTAGGGATATCGAGGCCAAGTACTTGTCTGATAATGCGCCTCGTAATCGAAAGAAACAAGGAGGAGAGAAAGACTGCCGTAGACCTTGGTGTCGTATATTTATCGTCAAGCGTATCTGATTTTAGAGCAATAAAGCTTCCTTCAGTCTGCATAGAGCTCTAAGTAGCTCTGAATACTTTCGGCCGGGAAACCTTTCAATTGAGGTCCAACTTTAAAATTAGGGTTCAACATTTGGGCCTTTTCTGCCACCCCCTGAAAAATATTAGCAAAACACCGCAAAAATAACCAAAATATCCACATATCTCTAGAATCATTCAAATATCATTCAATTTATTCAAAATACACACCTTTATCATCAAATATGCATCTTTATCATCAAATCTGCTAATATGCCCTGCAACACCCACTGTTCTACTGCCTTGCAAGCTTGTAAAAGGACTCCAACTACTCTGTGCCTTCATCTGCCCAAACCGCCTGTTTCAAATGTTCCAGATAATGATGAGAATTTAACTAATGATGAAAAGGAGGATAAGAAAAAGGAGAAGAAGAAAGAGACACAGTTAGAAAATTTTCAATTTCTATGAATATTTGTTTCTAAGTTTAAGATCTCATTCAAACTGTATGAATAAGTGATTATCAATGAAATAAAAAAGTTTATAAAGATCAAGTTACAGAATATCACAATAAATGATATGATTATCAGCTTTTATCATATTCAATATACTGCAAAAAGAATAACTGAAGAGTATGTTATGAAGCAAAATTATAAAATGATAGAAATTGCAAATTGTATAACAATCATTTCATCAAATAAATATAAATCTTCAATCAAAATCATTTTTGAAAAGGAAACAGATTGAAGAGAAATTATCACTCTTTTAAAAAAATTATATAAAAAAAAATAAACAGATTTAACATTGAAATTACCATCTTTTTTAATTTTTTAAATATTTCAACTTTATTTTCAAACATCTTTGTAATACACAGTTCTGCAACATTCATTGAAGTGTCAAATTCTTAATTAACAATTCAAGCATTGACATTAAAAAAAGTATTAAATATCAAAGAAGAAATAATTTTATCATTTATCAAATTTTCTTTTTATTATTCTGTCAAATCTTTTCAAATTTATAAAATATCTTGTGGTGTTCCGCCCCTAGTCTCCCTTCCGCCCTGCTCCTTCCGCCCCTGCATTATTATTCCTCCTATTCTTCCCGTATGCTGCGATCGCTCCTTCCTCTGGATTGGATCGCTGACGGGATGACTACGTATATATATAGGGGCGTTCGCCCACCCTTCTAGATTAGAGAAACTCAGACATGAATTATCCTACCAATTGAACGGCGTACGCCATAGAATTGAATCATATACAAACAATGATAAATGAGCAGATGATTTAATTGAATATTGAAATGAATATATTTTCAATAATAAAAAATGAGTTAAAGAGTTCTATCTGACAATTACAATTGAAGAAAATTAAATTATTTTTATTTATTATTTATAATAATGACAGCAAATCTCATACTGCTTCTGTTTCTGAATTTGAAATTTAAATATTATATATCATCATAATTGAATTGCAATCTGAATTTTTTTAAATTTTATAATATTATTTTATATAAATAGATCTGAAATATCCTTTTACATCTTCTTTTTTCATGAAATATTCAATTATATGATGTAAAAAGATTTTAAAATCTTCATCAAATTGATTTTTTAATTGACATTTATATTTTCTAATTCATTTTTTTAACACATGAAATGACTTCTTCATAGAATTATAATCAGAAAAATATAAAGATAAGGAATTAAGAATTCAATATCAGCTTTTTTACAGAGATTTGGCAGTATTTATGAATGATGAGAAAAGCAATTATTCATTATTAAATAATGATAATTTTGTTGATATTTGAATAATATTTAAATATATACAAATTTATTAAACCTTTCTGTATTATAGAATCTCTGATATATATCATAATCAAAATATTTATCAATATTTATTGCAGATAAAATTGATCATTCATAAAATTATTTATAAAACTTTCTAATATGATAAGAAAATTCTCTGCTTGATTATTCCTATTATTGATTTGCAATACATTCATCCACAGCACTTTCATTTAAAAAGATAAGTTGATCAAATTGATATTAAATAATTTAAATATATCATTCAATTTGAAATTTTTTATTGTATTGACTGATCATAAATTCAATTTATATTAAATAGAATTGATAAATTAATAAATTTTATAAATGATAATTATAATAATTAATTATCTTCTTCTATGTCAAATTCAGTTTCTTCAACAATTTAGATATTAATTGAGTGTGAATATCAACATCAAATTCATTCTTCACAAAGCAAACAGTCTCATTATGATATGTAATTGAATATATTTCAAAAAAATCTTTCAAAATCTAATAAGATATTCAATGTGATCTTTAATTTTACATTTTATATTGAATGAAAACTTTTAACAGTTCCAAAGCAGTGAATATTTTGTTGAATGTGATATACAATGATCAGATGACACTCAATAGTCCACACAATCTGAGCAGATATATAACTATCATTTAAAAAGTGTACAATCTCATTGATGGTAAATTCATTGAGCTGAGAAGGCATATTGACAGATTTGATGATAAAGATGTGTATTTGAATGAATTGGATGATATTTGAATGATTTTAGAGATACATGGATATTTTGGTTATTTTTGCAGTGTTTTGCTAATATTTTTCAGGGGTTGGTAGAAAATTCTGTTTTCGCAAGTTTTACGTCCGCCACAATAGTGCTCAAAATAGAGTGGCTCTAAGGCTTAACATGGCTGAACACTGATTTTGAGCGAACGTGAGTTAGTTATACAGAGTAAATTATTCTTATTAGCATACTTCCCTCAGAAAATCACCATGTGTATTATTACATCCGGGAAAATCTCCATTTCCATAGAACCATAGATCGATAAATCCCACGTCCTCGTGCGGAGATAGCAAAAATGAGAGAATTCAACGCTAGGCGCTATCCCCCCCTTGAGCCCACACAGTATTGGCAACTCCTCCACTCTCTCAATACCCCGGGAGCCTCCCGTTCCATTGCCCAAGAATAGATCCCACCATCACTCCGCCAAGAAAGTCATACAAGATCAGGATTATCAGATTCTTGCGTTCCGCTTGTGGCGCAGTCGGAAGCCGCGCAGCTGCTAAAGTCGCAAGTATGATGCGCACCGGGACACTCGCGTGGAGGAATTGATTTTGTTCGATGGGTACGTAAGACGTGAGGAGGTAGGATAATCCAAGGCCCGTGACGGCTATTCCTAGTGCCGAAGGAGCCTTGGTGAAGGTTAAGTACATGCCGAGGGAGAAGAGGCCCAAGGCATGGAGGAGAACGGGGACAGGAAGGTGGACTGTGGGAAGAAGTGAGGCCATGGTGCGGAGTATTCGCTATTTGTTTATCCAGAAAAATTTGTCTTTGGGAGGTACGTGGAGTACAAGATCCAGGCTTGATGTTTGGCAATAAATGCTGGACCAGTGTGAACTGAAGAAATAAATGATGAAGCACTTAGGGTTGTGTGCAGGTATAAGCTGGGGTTTTCTGCTTCCACGAGATACAACTATTTAAATATCTCGGAAATTTTCCCTTGGCGGGCGGAGTATAAACAAACCCATTGGAGGGAAACAACAAGGAGAGACGATAATGGTAACTATACATCATCCATACGCTAATGCTGAAATACCTCACACATAAAAAGTCATTACTTTCCATTACTTTCCCACAGCAATCGGAAAAGGGTTCACGAGTTTACCAAGCCGTATGCCCTCCGTCGATAACTAAATTACTCCCAGTCATGAAGGAACTGGCTTCGCTCAACATAAAAATGGCCGCGCCCGTGAACTCCTCCGGCCGTGCCAGGCGTCCAAGCATATTCTCCTTCTCCCAGATCTTGTCGAGGCCAGGAACTTCGTCAAAATTCTTCTCTACCATTGGTGTAACAATGTGGCCTGGTGAGAGCGAATTGACCCGGATTCCCTCCTCGCCCCATTCCATTGCAAGACTTCTCGCCAGCTGGATTAACGCGGCTTTCGAAGCATTGTATGCCGGCGAAATTAAGCCCCTGTTTGCAATGAGGCCGCTCATGCTTGCAATTAGGACGATGGAACCGTGGTTTCTGTACGCTATCATTTGTCTGGCCACTGCTTGGGCGGTCATGAAAACTCCTGTATAGTTTACGTCCATTATCCGTGTGATATCCTCTGCTGTATAATCGATTGCCGGCATGATCTGTTGAATGCCCGCGGCAGCCACAAGGCCGTCGATTCTGTGGTGGCTTCCTGCGATTTTCACAACTGTGTCGTTGAGGAATTTCGTGTCCCGCACATCGGTATGATGGTAATGCAGCGAGCCAACATGGGATCTGGCTGCTAGCTCTTGCGTTTCAACAAATTCAGGGGCCGGTTCCTTCAGTATATCAAGACAGTGCACTGGGATAGGAAACATGTTATTACGTTTATCAACCCCGGTTTTGTTTGTGAAGTTCATGTTGCAGGGGACAGACCTTCAGCACCGGCTTCAGTCATTGCCTCTGCCATGCATAGCCCTAGTCCCCGACCACCTCCAGTTACGACGTATACTTTACTCTTTAAACTAAAGTTCGGGTACACCTTTTGATGGTGATGGTTGCGGTGGGAGTGGCATTTATTATGCGAGCTGTAGTTGGTGGCCATCTTGTAAGTCAGTCAGACTTTGATTCATGCGATGAAATGTATGGATTGATTGCTTTGGCAATAGTCGGAACTTAGCATGTCGGATAATAATAATATATAAGGAACCCAACAGCTTAAGGTACTATGGCTGGGGCATCTCATTCAGATGACCTATGACATATGTGATGCTGAAACTATGAAGCCATGGTAATGTGTTAAGTTAGCACACCAGGCGATCTCAACCTTTGGGATACGTCAATATATTTTCGCAGTCCGAGCTCTACATTACATTTAGATACTCAGAGTATATCGTCATTTGAAATCCCATACGATTTCAAATTTTATCGGTCTATTTTGTTCCATATCGCTAGATTCTTTCCTAAAGCAAAGAAGAAACCTTGGAAATCTATCTATCTCCATATCTTGGCTCAACGCAACGCTGGCGTATGCTGGCGTATGCTGGCGGCGACTCACTATGTCATTGCCCCGTTTTCGTACAATTCCTGTTTTGGAGGCGCAACTTCGTAAATCTGTAAACATCGCTTTTATGCTATGACGTCACGGAAATGCGCGATCGGATTATTATTGGACCGGACGTTTTTCGCCCAAGCTAAGCCGTAAATAGAACAAAGTAAACAATACGTCGCTCCATGATTTAGTATTTTAACATCAAGCAACATTCTGCAAATCTGCAAAGCCCTTCTAATTTCGAGGCTCGGAGGTTCAACTATGATATAAGACATCATTTCCAATTGCCTCACAATTTCCTCAAATAGATTGTTCGGGATCAAGGCTTTGACTCACCAAATGGCTACCAACGGCTTCACGTCGCCGTTTCCAACATCTCACGACACACTGGGCGCTTCGTCCCTCAATACGCCCATCTTTATGCCCTCGTCACCTCCCGGATTGGACTCAGTTTTACATGCTAAGAAGCCCAGTTCGTCTCGCGCCTTGGCTGCAAATGCTGCCCGTCGAAGAAAGCTGAGGTCCTCGAAGAAAACCAGTTCGCCAGAATCCAGCGATGGAAGCGATTCTGACGCCAATCTTGCAGATTACACATTCGATATGAGCAGACTCTCAGATCATAAATCTGATTATGGCGATGGTGAATTGCGTGAAGTGCGCGAGGCGCGTGCAGGGGCTTTTTCAGAGGAGAAACGGGATGCATTTTCGGAACTTGGGGGTCCGCGTGATTTTACGTTAAATATGGTGGAGCTTGTCAGAGGAACAGGGGCCCTTATGGGTAATGACGGGGATAACGTGTCAAAGATGGAACCAGCGAAAACGCAGGGAGAAGTGCCCCTCAATACAGTCGTTGCGGAGCAGACGATAAATGACTACAGTGAGATGGACACGCCTCTTGATATGTCGACACCAGCACATGTTCTTCCACGACTAAATGCTATTTCGAGAAGCAACGCGCCCTTGGACAAAATTGATGAGCCTTCCTCGATACAATCGCAAGCCAGCAAACAGGCTCTGACACTTGCGGATCCTGACCAACCAAAGGAGCAGTCTACTTTGGAACATCGATTTCGCGAAGAGATAAAGCGGCTCCAGCAGGAATTACTCAGGAAGGACGAAACTATCGAGGCGAATAGAAGGAAAATTTTGGAGTCAGCGTCAGCCGCTCAACAAATTAAACATCTGCAGTCTGAGCTTAGGAAGAGAAACGACGCACTTAAAGAGAAGGATGCGCAATTGTCTGCTCTAGCTGGCCAATACGAAGAAATAGAAAATTTACGGATTCAGCTACAGCAAAAAGATGAACAACTTGAACAACATGAAGCTGATGCTTTGACAATAAAATCCCTCCAGCAACAGTTGGAGCAACTGCAAAGCAAGGATTCTCGGAAAGGTGCCTCCGCCAATAGGAACGAAGAAGACCCTCCTGTGCAGACGAAGCAAGAAAATAACGCCGCTTCCGCAAAACTTAGTGAGGACATTTCAAACAAGGATGCTCAGCTGAAACAACATGCAGCAGAGATCGACCAGCTGAGAGCCACTCAAGACGCCCAGTATCTAGAAATCGACAAGTTAGACTCTGAACTTGAGACCGTGAGTCGTGAATGTGAAGCTCTGGAAGAAAAGAGCGAGAGCCTTCTCAATGCACTCCGAGAATCCGAATTACGAAACAATACTCTCCAGTCCGAATTGGATAATGCAAATTCAGAAATCGATTCACAATATAATGCAGTGAAAACTTTTGCAAACGAGGTATCTATCGATATCAGAGTAAATATGGCCTTTAGTCAAATTTTCGATGCGATTAAGGGAGTGTACCATGCAAAGAGAGTGGCGTCCCTGAACGAAGCGACAAAAAGCTCCGAGCGCATTCGAGCCTTGGAAAGAGAACTCAGCGAGGTCCGATTACAGCTACGAAATTCTTTACCTTCAGACCGCATGCAGACGCTTCAACTTGAAGGCACACGCCAGGAGCTCTCCGAGTCGAGAGCCCTCACAACAGTGCTTCAAGGCGAGATATCTCGACTATCTTCCAAGATTGAATCAATAATATCCGAACAAACCAAATTGCAAGATACCCTCTACAAAACCACTCAAGAGCGAGATAGGGCACTATACACCGTTGATAATCTCCGCAACCATCAGGACGTGACCGAATCGCAGCAACTCAGTCCTCCTACATCCCCCGCTCTTCAACCAACTGGCATCGGCTCGCCGAAATGTCCAGTTGACCACGACGCCCTCCTAAAATCCCACCAATCAGAGCTGAACAGCGTGCATTCCGCCCACGCCACAGCCCTTTCCACCCTCCGCGACTCGCACTCAGAAACAATCCGCACCCTCCAAAACGTCATCTCCACCTCTCAGACGCGCGAGGCCAAGCTCAACTCAGATATTAGCCAGCTGCGCACATCGATTACTTCCCTGGAGCAGCGCGTTGCTGAGCTAGTGACTGAGCAGGAACGCCTCGAATCGATTATTGAGGCGAAGGATTCAGCCGCCAAAGCTATTGATAAAAAATTTGCTGGCGTCCTGAAGAAGAGGGAGGAGGTGTGGGAGGGGCGAGTGGAAGGGTTGCTGAAGGATCGGGAACGGATGGGGAAGCTTTTGATGTGGACGTGGGGCGAGAAGGAAGTCGGGGCGTCCGCGGGTGCTGGTGATGGTAAGGCGAGCGGGCCTGGGAAGGAGAATCAACCGCCGCAAGGGTATAAATATAAATATGTGGAGAGGATAGGGGGAAGGGGCCGGGATTCCTAAGGTTTATTTGGATCGGTGAGCTTGTGGTTGGGAGTGAAAGTTGTTCATTTGGGGTAATTTAACTGTTTCTCTTTTATTGGCTTTGTTTGTTGTCGTACTTCGTGTGTTCGCATTGGAGTTGTATGGCATTGTCACTGACAGCATGGCGTTTTTGTCTTGTCTGCTGGGTAGAATTTTGCTGAAACAGTTATGGTCGCCTATGTTTATGATTTGTTCAGGTGCTCGTGTTGATCTAGCTACACAATAGATAGGCAGGTAGTTCGAGTCGGATCACAACATGATCCGGTTTCTTTTCCTCCTTGTTTGGGATGCCACTGGCATACAAAAATGGGATCAAAACAGCAACATTCCACCACAAAATATATGGATATTCAACGACAAATCTATGATCTCCAACCACAAGTCGTTAGCGCAAATGGCAAAAGTACATGAAGACATTACCTCTTTACTGGAGAAGCAGATATTCACACATTTTCAACTCAGCTAGCCTTCTCAATGAGCCTCCATTCCAATCGCTCAGCAGGCGCAAGAGGACCAGTTGATCTATATCTACGGCACCTGAACCTCAGACCATCCATACTTCTCCGGGAGAGCGA